TGTGTGTGTGTGTGTGTGTGTGTGTGTGTGTGTGTATGATGTATTGTGATTTTCCTGCTTTGTCTAAGGCAGAGAGACAATGGCCATTAAATCTATATTAGAGGCCCTGAGATGTGAGGAAGCACCTCGTGGATCAGAAGAGAGAATTATTAAAGAGGAAGAAAAAAAGGAAGATATTGGCGACAATGGAGAGATTATAATGTAAAGAGAAGATATTTTTTGAAGGTAAGGTCTTTCATGTACATGTATCTAAAGAACAAAGAAATATATTCTTTTGTGTGGGTACTAATCCCAACAATGGAAATCCCTGCAAGAAAACTAAGAGTCAGAATGAGTTGGTCTTTGATTATCACAGAAACTGGAGTTTGTTTTTATTGATTATAAACTAGACTCAGGGTTTTAGAAGAGTAGATTGTTTTTGCTCTGACGTCACAACCTCCACATAATGCGATCTTAGTCTTACCAGTCTGGCCTGGTCCAGACAGAGACCCACCACAGCTCCTCCACTGCCTGGTAACTTCACTGCTGAGCCAAACTGCAAGAACCAGTAAAAACCATATAAATGAATGCATGAACAGAAAAAAACCCCCTCCTGCAGGCACACACAGGCAGAGGTGGAGACAAAAAGGGATCTCTCCTCAATAAGCCATGCTCTGCTCTTAGCCGGCGGTGGAACCTCTGAGAACCTACCTGCCTCGCCAGCTGAACCATTTTAAGATTCCCAGGACCCAGACAGTCGTCGGTGTAGACAGACCTGTGGCATATGTTGTTACTTTAGCAGTGAGTCTGACCGTTACATGAATGCCTCCAATCCGAAAACACAGTTTACCTCCTCAGCTCAAAGTTCTGGTCCATCAGTTGTGCCAGACGGCTCCAGTCTCTGTGCTGCAGGGCCGACCTGGATGGAAAAACATTTTCAGTGAGATAACACACAGTTAATCTGAAAGCAACACCTGCAGGTCTGTCAGCAGAGCAACACTGTGCATCTGGAGCTCAACATTTTACACAACAATTCAGAAAACCCAAGGCCTCTTTTATCTTGCACATATTTTAAATATTCTTTCCAGCATTTTGAGAACTTGCATATTGCTGCACAAAACTGTACAACTAATTCCTTTAAATAACATATTTTACATAGTTTGTACATTTTTTATATTTGTATTACTCCAAGGCCTCCTGACTCGCAGTACTTATTCTATGCACCAAAACACTGAAGCACTCTTCCCCTCTGTGAAAACCTACTTGGAAATACACTCAGTTCAGATTATGAATTCTTGATCAACAATCCACATCTAACAAACCAACCTCGCTTGATCAGTCAGCTCAGCAAAATTCTTCATGGCTTCAACGACCAGAGGCTCTCCTGTGGAAAGACAGAGAAACACAAAAGTAGATCAGCGACTGGATCAACGTGACATGAACTTTGTTGCAGCTTCTCTGTTCAGTGAAAAATACTTTGTGAGCTTAATTAAAAAAGGCACTGAACTGAAACTGAAAGAAGGCTAACGAACGGAAGCGGCTCTGTGAGGCTGAACTGAGCTACAACTGTGCGCTAACTGCCGATAATAACATACTAACATACTCAAAACGTAAATATGCTGATGTTGAGCAGGTATTTTTTTATTTGACCGTATTCACCTTTTCAGTTAAGCCTGTTAGCATGCTCACATTTGCAGATGAGCACTAAGAACAATATACAGCTGAGACTGAGGAGGGGGACATTAGTTGGGTATGTGGAATAATAATATTGTCCTCCATGCTGGAGAAGAGGTCAAGTCTCTCAGGTCCCATCTGTTCCCATTCCTCATAGATCCATATTTCTGAACATGTGCTTACGATCCATCTACAGTTTAATTATCTGTTTAATCCAAATTTAAAACACTGACCTATTTACCCTGACCGTTGGACAAACTGAAAAGGATATTTGACCAGATGATGGCGCTAGAGGAAAAGCCAATGGACAACCAGAGTTCAGTCAGACAACTCACGTTCAAACGTTTATTGCTCTAAGTGGTGACCCGACCGTGACCATGTAATGTTTGATATGAAACGGTACCGCTGAGCCAGCGCTGTCGGATGTTGCTGTGGATGCGTCCGGAGTCACTGGGGTCACTCAGGTACGCCAGCCAGAACAGTGGAAGGTTACTCATGTCCATAGAAACATAATTCCCTGAGAATGAAAAACATTCCACCTTAAAAAAAAAGGAAATGTATTTGTATCATGGACTTTGTATGAAACATCAGTGACATTAGTACCATATCCCTGCTCCTCCATGAGCTTCTTGCTGAAATCCATATAGACCAAACCTTCATAGACCTGCAGAGACAAAAGGACATCACATGTTACTGGATGTGTAAAAAGACAATGTGGTGTCAGAGTTCCTGTGCAGGACTTGTTCATGTACTGACCTGAACAACTCTATCCTGCAAACCAGCAGTAATGAAGAGTTCATCCGTCTCCACGTTGAGGATGAAGTTGGCTCGGACTGGCTTGGGGAGATCCTGTAATGTAAAACATGTAAAGTAACAGGTAGGGCAGGGGCGGATCCAAGGGCAGTGCTAGGGGGGCATTGACCCAACTTGAAAACTGTTTGGCCGCTGAAGGGCCCCTGTGCCTCTTTCTTTTCTTTTTAAATACACTAGTCACTTAATAACTAAAGAATGTGGCTAACTGATTATATCATCATCACTGCTTGTAGAAATCCAAGATAGCATCAGAAAGCTTCCACAGCTAACTTAGGTTAGGTCACTTCGTTTGTATCCGGAGGTAGATTTGTTTTGCAGCAATACAAGAGAAGGCATCCATCCAAATTAGAAAATTACAAAACCCTGACGGAAGACAAGACCACAAAAAACAAAAACTGCTAAAATGCTTCCAGAAGGACAAATGTGCAAATTTGGCTATAACCTGTTCAAGTGAACCGTTGCAGCTGGAACAAAACTATTTCTGTAGCGTTTTGTTTGACCCCTTGGGACAGTAAACATTCGACCAGAGGGCAGAAGTTGAAATTCCCCATGCAGACGATGCGAGTCGTCAGTGATAATGGAGCTGGTTATCCTCCGTAACTGTCTGGTGTGAAGGGACTCGACCATTTCACAATCTGTGTCTGTCCTTTAAAGACAGGTTACCGAACCATCACACCAAAGAAAATGTTAAAACAGACTCAATAACTCTCAAACAAGGAGTGAAGAGAGAAACACCATCACATATGGTAAATAAGTAACATCCTTACATTGTCTGTGATGTTGTAGAATTTCATAAGACACTTCAGGGTCGCTGAGACAATGGCACTGCACAAAAGAAAACACGAGACAATTATTAACTAAAAAAGTTTTCCATGACAAATTAAACTAACAATGTTGGAATAGTTTTCTGTTTCTTTTCCTTTTGTATCTTCACATCTGGTGGCTGAGATTCTTTAGTATGATAACTTGTGTGAGTCAACATCTCTATATAAATATCCCTCCTGTATTTTCATTCTAACAACCAGTCCGACAGACCTTGAATATGATGGTTACACAACTGTTCACGGTCTCTCTCTCCCACTCCCCCTTCCCATCTCTCCTCTCTTCCCCATTTTTCTCTGCTCACCCAAATCGGTGGAGGCAGATGAACTCCCACGTTGACTCTGGTTCTAGAGGTTTCTTCCAGTTAATGAGTTTTTCTCTCCACAGTGCTGCTCATTGTGGGAACTGATGGGTTTCTCTACAATATCGACGGTATCGACCTGACTATGTAAAGTGCCTTGAGATAATGTATAATATGATTTGGCGCTATACAACTCCCACTTACACCCATCAACTCCAGGAGGCTCATCACAGACACGCACGGATCTAAATCCATATATGTACTGTGCACAAGAATCTGTTTAATCACTTTTAAATCATAAACAATAGAAACATTGGGGCACAGAGGTAAGAAACAAAACTGTTTACCTGCTTCCAGCAAGGCCCTTAATGCAAACACAAAGAGTCTCATCAGGGGAGTGTTTGAACATGTTTACACACTTTAAACTGCATGGATGTGAACTGTGGCGCTTTCTTGAGCGTGTGAATGAATGCTTACCACCTGCCGAGGGATGTTGGTGTCGTACTTCAGCGTGAAGTTCTGCTTTGTCAAAGCAATACTGCAGAAAATAATAAACAGCAGACGTTGAATGATTAGCAGCAGTGACAGAGACAGAGACAGAGACAGAGCTTGAGTGTCTTTGTGATAGTTTCTCATTACGGGAAACAATGAGAAACTTTCCTGAGGATTGGATGAGAAGATTGAAACCACAGACTTCAGAATCACACGAAGTCACTGTGACCTTTGACCTCCAGGGACAAAAATCTAATCAGTTCATCTTTGAGTCCAGGATGGGACGGACCGAAAGACAACCCAAAAACATGCAGAGGCAGATTGAATCGGTTTTAACATAATCTGTCTAAGACGCAATTTGCTTCTGCAGAGCTCTAAAGAAAGATCACGTCCTTTGAGTACAAATATTCATCGTCTTTAGCCATTTTTCTGTGTGATTAAATAAATGAATATCTGAGTTTAGTTTTATCTCAGTCACTGATCTCACCCTTGTTTGGAGCAGAACTGGTAGAACTTCTTGCAGGTGGCCTGCAGCAGCCGCAGACCCCCCAGGTATCTGCAGTTGAATGACAAACACAAACATTTAGGAGACTAAGCGTGAGCGACGCACTTCTGCTCATCGCAGATGCCGAGTCCTCACCCTTCCTTCCTGCTGATACAGAACAGATCTTGCAAGCTTCCAAACTCTGTAGGATCGTTGAGAGGATGAGGAACCAAAGCCTTAAAAAACAAAATCACAGAAATGCACATGACATTTAAACAATATATCCCAGAAGCTCTTTTATACATGTTTGTGCATAGATGTGTGTGTATTACCAAAGTCTGGCTCTCCACTAGAGTGACCTCAGCCCAGAAGTTAGAGATGGACATGGCGATGGTTTTCCCATTGAAACCGTCTGAGGGATTCCCCATTAATCCAACCCTGTGAGATCATAAACATCTGGATCTGTCAGGTCACATTTTAACTTCTAAACTTCTTTTGTGAATTAGAAAGAAGAAAGAAACAGAAACGTACTTCCAAGAGTCATTTTATGTCGGTGGTTTCTTACCTGGCAAACGACCTGCGTGTGATTGGTTTAGCAGCGCTGGCCTGCTGCTTGGATGAGTAGTGAGTGAGCCACTTGGTGTAGTCTGACAGGCCCTGAGACGTCCGCAGCACAATGTTGAGGGAAGAAATGTATTTAGAAAATGCTGCTTTACACGATTTCAGGGAGATTAAGAATAAATCTATTAAAATGATTTCTGGGTAATGGCAGCTTCCACACTCTAAAATATTTAAGCTTGAACCTTGACCTCTGCCCCTCAAATACTATTTGTCTTGTCCTGGATATTGTACAAGATTTTCTGTCACACTTATAATCTATGAATTTACAAAGTGTGATAATGTGAAGTAGGAATACAGACCACTTGTCCGATAAGCTGGAAGCCAGTAGGCAGCTTCATCCCGAACACATCCAACTGCTTCTCATTGATGAGCCACTCCTGAAGACAGACGAGCCATGAGAGCATTTGTCAATCATACAAAGATTCATATGAGGGCAGATTAGAATCAACACAGGAAGTTATAAAGCAGATGTTGTCTCAGTAGTTCAGTTATGTGACGCGTCTTTGAAATTGTATGAATTTAATTAAATCTTGTATAATAGAACCAGGCCAGAGGGATTCCTTCCTGCTGAAATAACAGATCTGTGGTTAACAACATGGGACGGTGCTCTACTGCCACTTACGAACCCAGAATCGGCCGAAGGTCCTGTGTGTGGCTTGAGGCTGCAGGCTGAGGAAGTCAGACAGGTAGGACAGCGTGTCTCTCTGGATGCTGTAGAACACCACGCTGGCCAGTCGCGATGACGTCAGACCATCCTGGGGCTTCTCCGAGAAGCGAGTTATCCTGATTCATAAAACAGATTAAAATCAAATCTGCTGCATGGCGGTGAGCATCAAACACCTACATGGCAGAAAGCTGTTGCACTGCATTGTGTGCAAGCAGCAAAAACCACTGAAACATTTGTTGTGTGTATCTTTATATACAGTCTATGGTTCTCACCTGTGGGTGTCAGGGCAAACCTCCACGATGCCCCTGGAGCTGCTCTTCTCACTTTCCTCCAACTCATAGTAAATGATGAGCTCTCCAGGCTGCAGCACACACACACAAACAAAAAGACCCTGACTGATTATTTATTTGAAAAATATGAAAAAAGTGTCGTTCATCTGAGATAGTTTCAGATTGTGTTCGATCAGGACTTCACTAAATATCCTGTGCACAGATTATACTGCATGGTTTCATGTCCACTACAATAATTGTGTGTACTTATAATCTCACCTTTGACCTGAAGAAGCGGATAACCTGAGCGATGTCAAAGTTCTGGTCCGCACACAGCATGTCTCCAGCAATCTGCCCACACGGGAAGTGGATCCTCATCGTACGACAGATGGAAATGTGACAGAGCAGAATATTCTCAAACATGAATTACAGATTCGTATCGTACCACCATGATGTCGTCCTGCAGCTTGCGACTGCGTATGGCCAGCTCCAGGTCGGCCACGGCCCCCAGGCGGTCCTCCAGCGTCGTGCTGCCATCATTCACCACGTTCTCCACTGGGAAGTCGTTAGCTGTGGCCCAGCGCTCATAGTGCTTGTACCTGCTCAATGCAAAGTGAGTCAAGCAGCTTTGACAACAAAAGTAATGGTCAAATGATTCTAAGAGTTTCACAGGAAGGTTTACGCTCTCTATGTGCTCACTTGTCTGCGTTAGTGACCAGGTACACCTCTGAGAACAGCTGCCGCCTGCGGAGAAATCACAGATGCAATCAGCTGTGTGCCGCAGGAACAACAGAGACTTGGGACAGAGGAGGTGCTCAGAAGAGAGGCCTGTTTGTGTTCGGGTCGCTCTCCCACCGTTACGCACATGTTGACGGTTTCCCACCAAAAGTCAAGAATCTTCTTCCCTCCGGTGCCAGGAAGCAGGGCCTTTGGTACCCCGGCCAGGTGGCTGTACAGGCCCGTGTCATCGTTCTGGGCAGAGAGAGGAGAGCGAGTGAGGACGGGTGCAGGAAAACAGCTTGTTATTATACCAACCAAATAACGTCAGTACATACGCAACATATTAGACTTTATAATCAGCTGTGATCACAATACACCACGTACCTCTCTCAGGCTTTTAACTAATCTAACTGTGCATTAACCATTTTCTATTCATGCAACTTCAATTCATACATGTGCAGCACTGTTACAATGTATTCTGGTTATTTTGTATAAAATAGTTCCTATTTCTTTGTGTTTATATTGTATCTTTACTCATATATAACTTTTACAGTGTGTTTCTCACTGGCGTCTTTGTTGCTGTGATGTGCAACTAATACAAGATTATCTTATCTTATCTTAACCTTGAGCCAAACTCAGTGACAGAAACTAGCTTCTTTAAGATGTGTTTCCTCTTAGTAAAGTAACATTTCTTATTCTATCTATTTATTCTTTCCATTCTTCAGTCTTTAAAAGCTTCTTTCGTTGGACTGTGTTAAGTTGCCTGAAATGCTTTTTTTATACATTTCACGTGAAGCACTTTGAATTGCCTTGTTGTTGAAATGTGTTGCACCTATAAACTTGACTTATGAACTCTCCTTCAAACCCCTCCATTGTTGTTGTGTCGCCAGGGGGCGCTGAAGAGCACCAGGTCCAATGATGTGATAAAACGGTAGTTGTAAGAAAATGATGAGACTTTTCTCAGGTCACTTGTGAACCGGAAACACCAGAACAGCTTCACGACTCCACTGATGGTCCAGGACACGAGGTATCAGCCCGACCAGCGGCACGGTGGTAAAGTGGTTGATTCTTAGAGGAAGTTCGGAGACACGGGGCACTGACACCGCGGACTTTGCACCCCCCCTCTGCTGCAACCTCCAGGGTACTCACCTTGATCTGAGTCTCCAGGACGGTGCCGTGACCGGCCACCAGCAGGATGCAGATCATCCCCGTGTCCTCACCGTGTCTCTGTCCCTGTGAGACAACACGCACTGAGCCTGGAGGTGGACAAATGTCCGAGAGCTGGATTCTCCCAGCGTCAGTGAAGAGACACGCACTTCCGGTGACAACCTTCACAATAAAACAGAGGAAGTTTTATATTTAAGATCAAGATAACATGGTAGTCTATATTATTGTTAAGAAATCCACAACCTAGGATAAAGTTTGAACCTGCATATTGAGCACAGCTCCTGGAGTTACTCCAGACAAGGATATTCAAGATTTGCGTAGTTGTTATAATTTGCTTTAAATATTAAAAAACTATAAATGTGCAATTAATCTAATTATCTCACTATACATTTCTTCAATAGCAATATACCAAAGGTTCACAATATGGGGATGTATTATGGAAGCACAGTGAGGAGGTTTAACATATTGATCTACTCCAGATCTGTAAAATGTTGTAATGTTGTAATGTAAACTATTTAGCTTTTTTTATATGTACATAGCTTTTGTTTTGTTTGTATCTCTGTTTGTTTGTACTAGGAGAGCTAAATAAAAACCAGAGCCAAATTCCTTGTGTGTTCACATACCTGGCAATAAAAGTGGTTCTGATTCCGATTATCAGGCGTTTGTCATTCTCTGCTCACAAAGAGTTAAAAACCACAACCTTCACTCAGAAACAAAATTCAGTCTTTACACGTAAAAAAAATCATGTGACATGTATCGTGCCAGTTATCAAATTGACAAATAGATGTTTGTCTCCGAAGTCGATGTCAAACCATCCGAGAGCTTCGACCTTTGGATTTTTTTTGTGTGAATCAAATCTGACCCGCAAACCAGACATGAAACAACATCACGTTCAGCAGCATTTTCCACTCAGTTCAATTTTTTATTCTTTATTGAATTTTTTGTAATAAATGTTGATGAAGAATGGGGCAAAGACATCTCTCTTAAGTAGGCGTACATGTATATACGTGCACTTTGGCGAGCTGTAGCGAATGCCACATCCACATACTTCAACATGGTTTGATAGATGTCTTGCCGTGAGTATGCGATGTAGAGGTGGAGCACGTATTCATAATCGGTGCACTACACCATTAATCCAGGGACCGTCCTCCTGGTTAAGATGAACAAATCGCTTGCTGCTTACAACCCCTGTTTATTTACTTAGTTACATTGTTGCAATGTAATTTTTGTCCCCAGTGAGGTTTCATGAAACAACATACAAAAATACAAAGC